ACGAGCCCGGCGGAGGAGCGGGAGGGAGCCCGGTGGGGGCTGCGCCCTTCCCGTGCCGGCATCGGGCGCACGGGACCCCTCGGCCTCTCCGGGGCTCAGGAAAAGGGTTTTATCTGTTGGTTTTTTTTTTTTTTTCCACTGTGAAAGTAGAGTTGAGCGAGGAAACATGTAGCAGGGCCACGGCTGTGTTCAGAGAGCGGTAACACTTCATACTAAGGGTATTTTTCGGAGGGGGCCTCGCAGTTCGTTTGTGACTGCCGATGGCGTTATTTTTGGTTTTTTTTTTTTTTTTCCACTGTGAAAGTAGAGTTGAGCGAGGAAACATGTAGCAGGGCCACGGCTGTGTTCAGAGAGCGGTAACACTTCATACTAAGGGTATTTTTCGGAGGGGGCCTCGCAGTTCGTTTGTGACTGCCGATGGCGTTACGGGATGCTCCGGCAGGGACTGATTTAATTTGGCTGCAGCCCTTCCCGCGCGCTTGGGCCGCGGCCGCGCTGCTCCTCCAGCCCCACTTCCCTCGCCTGGAAGTCACCAGCAGCACTACACCCTCCTGGGAAATACGTCTTTGGAGCCCCAGTTTTCTTGGGAAACGCTCTCTAAAGCAGCGAGTGTTATTATTACTAATATAACTTTCTCTGTCTATAAAGTACAGAAGAATATAACAATTGTATTTATAACCGTTTTGTCAAAATACTAAATAGATGCTATAAAAACCTGTAACTAATTGTGCTATAAACTGCAGGCTACCGGGTTATAACAAACAATGTATTGGCTGAGTCGTTGATATGTATCGGAGCACTTTATAAATGCTTTATTCTTAGCATTTACCAAGGAGTTTCCTTACCGAACAATTTGGGGGGGGCCAAAGCTAGCAAGAGGACAATAACGTGGACTTAACGTGGGTTGCTAAATCCAGAGGAGATGACGCTGGGACGGGCTGCAGCGAAGCACGGTACGTTTAACACTACGTGCCGGGTCCGGGACCCCGACCTGAGAAGGACCTGGGCTGCTTCCCCCCAACCCCTTTCTCCTTCCGCTTCGTTTTTTGGAGCCCGGCGGCCCGTCGCGCGCCCTCGGCAGCAGAGATCCAGGGCCGGGTGGTAAAAAAGTAACGCGCTGGCGTTGGGTTTTAAGTACTCTTAATAGAAAGTGTCACCAGGAGAACAGGAACGTTTCTCCGAAATGGAAACCCGTCAGCGGGAACAAAACCCTGGGCTTTTGGCCTTCCCTTGTTTGAGTCTAGAGAGGGGACCTCAAACACTTGCCTCGCTTGGTTTTTCAGCAGAAATTGCAGCGCTGCTTTTGCTGGAGAGTGAATCGGCCTCAAACACCGACTCGCCAACCCGGGCAGCTTCTCCCCGCGGCATTTCACTGCCTTTTGCTGCGCAGGAGAGACGTTTGGTAAAAGCCTGAGCTGCGACCCCCGGCCTCCCTTGCCGCGCTGGCCGCGTCCACGAGCCCGTAAGGTACCTCGGGCCGTGCTCTGCAGCACAGGCTTCAGAAAAAGCAGCAGAGGAGCTGACGGTCTAGTGTAAGAACAAACAGATTGGGGGGAAAAAAAAAGAAAAAAGGCTCACTTTCCCATTAGGAATTAAAAACGAAAGGCAAAAACGGAGACCCAGTTTCCTACGTCCTCAGCGGCTGCCCCCGGGCCAGGCACCTTGTCCGGGGAGCGGGACTCAGGGGCGGCGGGCCAGGAGGGCTGGCCGAGGCCACCGCAGCCCCGGCGGCACCCTGACCCCGCGGCGCCG